CACTAAAGTTGAGGGACCAAATCTAGCATTTAACCTTGTAAAAATTTATGGCCTTAGACTCTAGCTCAAGACGAATAGTAATTCTCTTATTTTTTGAATCTACAAGTTCTTTGATAGTGCTCATACTCCTTTTAACCTTCACTATTTTGTGAAAGTGGTTTGTATTGCCATCTCCTTCACTTAGCCATATGATCCTTGATTTTTGCTTATAAAACATTTCCTCTGGTAACTATAAATTAGCAACTATCCGTGCTTGATCCTTCTCCACTTGAACCAAATCTTCATGTGAACAGGTTAGTAAGTCTATCTGCAGAGCATGTAATTTGGCTCTTTCCTGTTGCAACTTACTAGGAAGATCAGCATAGTTTTCCTTATTCAACTTAGGGCAAATTTCAAAGCTTTGAGTTTCTTGTAGAGTTGGAACATGAAACAACCTGAGACATGAAACTTATCCCATGTTTCCTTTACTATTGCCAAAATTCTATCATTCTTAGTCCATAAGCTAAAAAATTTGAAGGGTTTCCTCCGTGTGCCACATATTGGTGTTGCAATCTCTACAAGCCCTACATTGTGATCAAAACATTCTAGAGAGAGAAATCTAGCTTTAGTGTTTGGATAAGTATCTAGCCAAGCTTCATTAACCATCAATCGATCAAGCTTCTTGGCAATGAGACCCTCAAACCTTTTGTTTGACAAGGTGTAGATGGGATCAATGGTAGGTAAATCAACCAATTTAGCCTCATTCAAACTATTATGGAAGACTTTTGACTCTACAGGAAGGCAAGCAAGAGAATGCCAATCAGGCCTTTCATGAATGGCTCCCATTAAAATCACCACCTACAATCCAGGGGACAAGAGGGAGGGCTTTACTCATTAGTATCAGGTCAGCCTATAATCTTTCTCTCACATTTTCATTATAAGAATCAGCATAAACAACATTGAGAAAAAAATATTTGCTAGAGAGCTTGTCAAGCACATGACAATGGATAATTTGGTGGTTCATGACTGATCCCTATAGAATATCCAAATTCTACCTAATCTTGCATATTCATAATTGTGCAAAACATACCAACTACGAAATAGAACTTTGCATGCCTCTAAAAACTTATGCTGTTGAACACAGGTCTCTAGTAGACGAATAATATCTACAAAATACTACATTATATATTTTTTCAAGTCTTTTTGTTT